CTTTGGGGGGCTTCTTTGGTACAGGAGGAGGAACTTTTCTTTCTTCCTGCAACAGGGCATTAAAGGCACGGGTGAGCGGCGTGCGGTGTGCGCCGGCGGCGGAGCATGCACATGGCACACACGGAACGCGCGGTACTCGTTACACACACCAAGCATGCTCGTTTGTGCCTGCCCACCGGCTGAACAACGGGCTGCATGGACAGCTCTCCACACCAGGGACACCACACGACCCTCCTGTTTGCACGGCCATCGCGTCCTCTGCGCTCCTCCTTCCACATGCAATCTGCTCACCTCCCCACCCAGGGTCGCTTGGCTGCAGCTGACACATTGGTACACTCATTGGAAACAGAAACACACACTGGCTCTCCAATAAGAACTCAGCGCATCTGGGTGGTCTGATCAAGTGAAAAGACTCTCTAAGATCATTAGCAGGACAGGAGCTTTGATGAAATTAATCGTCCTGAGTTCAGCCTCAGCTGGATATGAGACAGCAGCTGTGTATACATGTCTGTTAGTTTAGTCTCCTCCACGGACTGCTAAATGGAAACATTCAAGCTCCAACCAGAGAGAGAGCACAGGGCTGATGTTTCTGCTTGCCAGCCTGGACCGTTTTAAAAGACAATTAGACTGAAGAACAATCAGATTATAATGGGAAAGTCAGGAGATTTTGTTATCAAAGGAGCTGTAAATTTCTCTGCAGGTTTTAGATCAGGGATTATTTTGAAGGATGAAATGGATGTTTGGTTTAGAGACTGTGAAATGTACAAGGGCATTAAAAAGAGACAGTAGGAATGGTATGGGAGGTTAGGAGAGATGAACCTCTGGAGGTGATTTTGCACCACCCCATGCAAAGCCAACTTGAAATTAGATGCAACTTTGAAGTTAAACCAGGTTTTTTAATGTCATATTTAATGCTGGACTATATAGCCCTGAAGATGGAGACTCCACAACCTCATATGGTTATTGTGATTGATCTTTTGGCTCTATGATTCCCTAAAGCAATGGTGATAGTCCAGAGTATGGGCTGTTCCTTATGGAGAACACAGTTCACTCGATGCACAGCAGGATTCAGATGATACAGAAATTGAACTAATGCACCTGTGGTTCACAGACTCTTCTTTCTTTGGTCTTTTTAAAAAAGACTAATTCTGAGTCTACTACCAAAATGACTAAATAACTAAGGTCACTTAAAAATGCAGTTCTACACTCTCAACAGGAACAGTGCAGCAGCCTGAGATGCTACTCCCCATGATAACCAGCTCTTCCAGTCTGTATTTCTTTGTTTCCTGGTTTCAGCCAGGAACATAAGGGCTCCACTCCTGTTGTCTCATCCTAATTTCTGCTTCCACTCTTAGTTATTTCCCTCTTAGGAACACCACTGCTGCTGTCACTATGATTTCTTACTTCCAGTTGTCACTAGTAAGTAAGAGTTGCAAACTCACCATCCACCAACCCGTTGGCTGAAAATTAAAATCCAAGAGGAGCATGAAGAAATGAAAAAGTTGTCAAAATGCCTCCTAATTCCTCCCCAACCAAACAAGTATTCACCTGAGGCCAACAGTACTGACTCAAACCAAATGCTGCTTTCGCCTGACTGATACAATAATCAGCAAGGAGAGTGGGATAATTGAGGCGAGGGATGGAGCTCTGGAGAGGGGAAAGCAGAATCACAGTGCTTCAACAGGCAATTGTCACCTTTGGTTTGTAAGCATCATGGTAGGGCATCTCCCAGGCAGTGGAGTTGCAGGGCAGAGGTTTGCCAGAAGCGCTTTGTCCCCCAGACTTTTGTGGGCCAAGCCTTAGCATGATCCGTGCTATGTTTTGTCACGTGCTTTTATCTCTCTCCTGCTTTAGCATTGGTTGTGTCGAGCAGGGAGGGCTAAACACTGCAGGGCTCAGGTTTGAGCTGCCCCAAATACAGCAGAGTTTACCTTGATTGAGTTCTTGGGCTATTGACTTCAGTCTGAATTCATAAGAGCATATTTCAGTTCTAGCCTTTAGGATGTGAATCCAAATCACTGGAACAAAAGTGTTATGGAGTGAACTAATTTAGTAAAATTCATTTTATTTGTTACGCAGTTCAGCTCAACATGGTTAAAAGGGAAAACCCCTCAGAGCTGATGAAAGTTTCCATGTCCAAATTAGGTCATGCCAATTAAATGCTTCCCAGCGTTAGAACCCTCTCGTGTTTCAGGCAGGGAGACTGCAGAACTACGAACAGGGAGTAAGTGGTATTGTCCCTGGTCTGCTTACCTTCCTTTCAGGTGATTCTATTATCTTCCATTCATTGAGTTTCAACTGGTGCAGTTCATCAAACTTCATGCTGACATCTTCAATCGAGAGCTGCAATAAGTCCCAGAAACCTGCTAGGTCCTGGGAGGTTGGTCTGGGCATGGCACTCGGGTCCTGTCATGCACAGAGGAGAGGAGATGAACAGACCAGGAAGCTTTAGACAGGGAGCTCTGAGGCAGGAGAGGCTTCGCTCCCGACGGCCTCTCCGCAGGGCTGCTCACAGCTGGGACTGCAGAGCTGTGCCTCCCACACAACCCAACGTGTCACACCACAGGCCATGCTGACCTGCACTTCCAAACAGGAACAAGCTGACAGCCTCTGCCTGCTGATTCCTCAACACGGTTTGTGTTCCACGTTGAAGTCTTGCTGGTTAGAAATTGCACTCACAACGGGTGATTAGAAGACAAAACAATCCCACAAAGATTTTCAGCTTATGCTGAACTCCATGTTTACACTGTGTTGCCTTTTCAAGTGTACACAAGAGGTATGAAATGCTGATGGGGACGGTAGGATTTAATTCTCCAGGGAGTTGAATCACACTCAGGAACTACCTGGAGGCTCCACCACCAGGTATTGCAATGAATTGGCTCCATGTGCACAGGACTTAATGGAGCAAACACTGGTGGTAACAATTAGCAAATGACCCTCTATTGGATTATTAATCTGATACCAATGCTGGATAAAAATTGCATTACAAGGTGTATGCAGACTCTTAACCCTGTGGTCTCTGATCATGGTGCTAGAGAAGCCCGTGGCCTGCAGCCTGGCTCTTGCAGAGAGCTGTGCCATGTATAGTCTGGACACAAGAGGGCTGCCTCCTGCTTCTTATGGCTCTGCAGCTCAGCAATAGATGCTGACACAAATGGCTACTATTACAGCTAACCAAGTTTGGAAAGGATTGGCTCAAACCTGCCTCTGCTCACAGGCTGCTCATTCATTTGTATCTTACTTGGAATTCAGTTGCAGCTCTCCTTCTGAAGGAAGCAACAAGTACCTAGCTGGTGCTCAAGATGTTCTGTTTTGGCCTGCAACCATGACATATTGAGGGATAAGCTCATGGGCTGAGCAGGATCGGCTCTGACTAAAGAGTATGAAGGAGGACACGTCAAAGGAACAACAGGGTGCTACAAGAGCTAATGTGAATAATGCAAAAGGGAGTATTTATCAGCAGTAATTGGGTTTTTCCAAGTAGCTCGTAAGAATCATAGAACCACCAAGGCTGGGGGACACCACTCTAAGATCATCCAGTCCAACCACTAACCTGCCACTGCTGGAACCCCTAACCCAGATCCTGCAGTGCCACATCAGACACCTCTGAAACACCTCCAGGGATGGTGACTGCACCACCTCCCTGGGCAATATCCCAGTGCTGAACACCACAACAGGGAAAACATTTCTCCTCACACCCAATCTGACTCTGCCCTGGCTCAGCTCAAGGCCATTCCCTCTCTCCTCTCCCTCAGCCCTGGCAGGACACACATCCCACACCTCTCTCCAGCCCTGGCAGGGAGCTGGAGAGAGCCAGGAGGTCAGCTCTGAGCAATATACACTTAGGAGTCAGCCAATCAGATTCATAAAACCCCTTCATTCTACCTTGCATTTTTGTGAATTTACCCTAAGTGAGAGTCTTTGGCAAGAGACCTCACCCAGAACACAGTCAAACATACCCCTTGAAGTGCCCGTGACCCTACAAGAAATGTCCAAAGGAGATGGGTGACCTTCCTGCTTACATTTCACTGTGAGTAAACATATTCCTCTTCTCAAAGCCCTGCTGCATTTTGAACTGGCAGAAGTAAGTGCTGTTCTTCGTCCTACATTTTTGCTTCCAGACGCTGAGTGCTGTCAGAGGAACTGCCCCGTGCAGCCCCATGTGCACTGGATGCTTTTGGGAGGGACACACCAGCTGCAGTGCTCCTGTGGGGCACCAAGATGCTGCCTCAGAGGCACATTGCAAGTCCTGCTGTGGGTATGCACTAAGTGACTATTTGACAACAAACTCTGGCATTAGGCAAAGGAAGAAAAGCCTCAAAACACGAATGACCTGGAGTCCAGTCCTGCAGTTGCTGCTTTCTGCAGAGCCCATTAGTGGTTTAATGAAGCTGAAGAATATTCAGAGCCTAAAGCTTCAGAGTGGGATGAAGCTGCTGTTACAGAGTTCAAAGGTTTATTAACCAAATAAGAAAGAGAGCAGTAAAATCTTGCCAGGTTTTTGGCCATTTTGTATACAAAGCTGTAGATTTGTGCTTGTGCTCCTATGGCTTTTGCAGCAATGAGTCGTTCTCCTTTCCCAGCAGCTGATGGCTGAGCTGAGCAGGACCTGCACTTGCTGTTACAGCAATACTCTTGAGCACAAGTGCTGGACCTACTTGAAAATAAATGAAGTAAGTGAAGGTTAGGCCCTCCAAGCCTTGCTCTGCATAGCTTAATCAATCAGGTAACGGAGGGTGTTTTTCAGTGGGCAGTGAGGAACTTCCAGGCAACAATGAGAGGATTTCCTGCTCTTGATGTGGAGCAGATGATTAGACAGGGAGCACACAAGATGCATGTGATATTACAGACATGGTCATCTCCTGCTTGTCTGCCTTTGTCACTCGTAACAGCCACTAAAATTCTTGTTTTGGCTGTGCCTTTGAAGTGCGTATTTGGATTCTTTCCTAACGAGGACCACATATCTTAGCATCCTCTGTCAGAAGGAAAGACATTTTTGGCATGGCTTTCTCAACAATATCTAACTGCAATTGCACGGATTCCGGATCGTTACGGGTGGAGAGCGGCAAGTAGTTCCCTGCAGAAGGATTGCTCTGCCTGCAACGTTGTGTGGCAAATGCCAACAAGGAAAGTATCTAACCAGACGTGCAGGTCACGTCTGCCGCAACAGGACTCGGCGCTCCCAATGTGTGAGCTGTGGGCACAGTCACCAGGAGGAAGCCACACTCGACATCTGAGTCAAAGAAAGGTGTTGCACCACCAGCTGGAACTACCTCCTCCCATGGCCCCAGTGTTTGTCCCACCCGTGGCTGCTGTGATATTAATGACGATAACATTTAGAATTGGATTAGTCTCTAATGAACTTGCAGAACAATAGCAGGAACTCTCACAAGTAATACACTGCATCTGTTCCTTTAGCCCCAGGACATCTTATAGATAATTGGCAATACAAATTATGCAACCTAATTCTGGGAACATTATCAATGTGTCATTTGCAGGTAGTTTGAAACTTGGATCATGTGTTCTCCACTGTTGTATTTTACACTTCTCCACTTACTGTAATGCCAAAAATTTCCCCTTTCTTATCTCAAGTACAGTTACTTGAGTTACTAGTATCAGCAACTACAGAGTAGTTATGAGGGTATTACAAAATTAAGTCATAATATGTCTCAGAAAACTTGCAGTTATTCCCTTCTCTTTTTTCCTTTACTAGAGATAGCAAAAAAATAAAAGACAAAGTATAATCAACCTGAAAGTACTGAAATTACATATTTGCTTTGACAAAAAAAAGTACTAACACCATAGTTAGTACCTAACCATAGTTATAGTACCACCACCACCTAAACATAGTTATAGTACTAACACCATAGTTAAGGATTAAGTGAAAAAAAGGGGGCAGTAAGACAAAATGTGAGACATGAAAATAACATCTCAGAGTGCTACTCCTTGGGGTATGTTACACTTGTTTTGGCTGCTGCTTTTGAAGTGAAAATACCAAATTCTAAAACTTTAAGTGATCTTCTGATGTATCTATAGATTATTGACCTTAAACCCTCCAAGAATGGCCAGACATGGTGACTTACCAGATTTTGCTGACAAAGCCAATAAAATTGCTGGAACTTCTGAGACATGAGGAGTTGAGCACTTCCAACAGCACTTCGGATCTTACCTAGGACTAAGCACACAGACACATTATTGCCAATCCACAGATTTTGGCAGTAGGTGCAAAATCAGCTCAAAAATATGCAGCTGCAATTCCTGTTTGCTTTATAAGTGAAGTAAATATTTGGGTTTTTTCCTTGTGGTTATACACACAAATTACTTGTGAAGAAGATGGAGAGATAGGTGCTCAGTGGCACCTTCTCTTTTGGCAATGATACTCTAATAAGTCAAGACAGCCAAGACTGGACTTGCTTAAGGAAGTAGAAAAAAGCCAAGTCATCTCCCTGAAGTGAATGTCCATCCACATCTCTGAGAGCACCTTGAAGTACATGACATGTCCTGTTCACATTCAGACTTGCAGGGGTTGTTGGAACAATTCCTGCCTCAAGAACCAGTTGCTGCCTGTTCCCTCTGGTGTCCAAGGGAGCTTTGCATGTACCTCAGATAACTATTTTCTTCTGGGTCTGCAACTGCAAATGACTTCACTCAGCTGTGTGGATGATCCCTGAGTGAGCTCTCTTATCCTGCCTGTTCTAGGGTAAGGTCAGTACACTAAAGAGGAACATAACACACTCCTACCACAAGCATGAGATCCTCAGTGGAATCATGAGACATGTCTTGGTATACCCATGAGGAGTTCCAGGTTGTCTATCCAGGAAAATACACAAAGTCCTCAGACAAAGTGGGACACAAGTGGATGCTCCAGGACTTTGTGAAGCAGGATCAGCCCCCACAGATGTGTTGGTGTTTCCCCACTGTCCATGTACTTGCCATTCCAGTGTGCCTTAGCACTGGGGAAAGGGAGCAGACGATTTTTCCTTTGTTTCCAAGGGTCACCTGTCTGAATTAAACATTCTGGATGCTCTGTAATGAGTGGTCTGAGCTCATCAGCTCAGCCATGCTAGGCCCTTATTTTTAGATAAGTTGAATTTCTTCCTGGAGATGCCTCTGTCTTTCTACTGACTGAAGTGCCTAAGGGGACTGGCTTATCCCTAAGAAACTACCTCCTCCTGACTCCCACATTTGCTGGGATAAATACCATACTTTGGCAGGTAGCACCATGCTTTCCTACACCTCCTTCCTACACATCCTTTCCTACACTTCCTTTCTTCCCTGTCCATCTCTGTGCTGAGAAAGCAACACTTCAAATAGCACTATGAGCTGTGGCCTTGATGGAAGATTGATTTCAGCTGGAGAATTTCCAGAGCTTTAAATAGGGTTAAAGATCTAGGGAGGTGAAGCAGGACCTACTCTGACATAGCTTAACTCAACTTTGGGAAGCCAAATTGATAATTCAAACAGGAAGGAGAGGGTGGAATGAAGCTACAATAGCACAGCAGAACTGATCTGCAGCCTGTGATATTAAGCACTAAATTCTAGCAGGGTCTAACATTTTGTTGTTATTGAGCATGTGAAAACAGTATTTTGGTAGCAGGTCTTATATTTTACTTCTGCTTTCTCTAGACTAGTGAAACATCTGCTTACAAACAAGTAGCAGCAAGAGATAATCTGGAAGTTTTGGGCTCCAGGTACAAACTCAGTAGCTTTCAAAGCACGTGTTGACGTGTGGTTCCCAATCTCTATTCCATTTTCTGTGGACAAAGTACAGCTGTGCCACCACACCAACCCAGACAGCAATAGGCATAGCCATTGGCCCTGTGACATGACTGTGAGAGGGTTAAGGGGGTCAGGGCTGCAGGAGTGACTCCTTGGGCTTTGGTTTTGTTGGGTTGGCCAAATGAAATAAAGCACTTTAATTGGCCTGGGGGTTTGGATCACCAAACCTCTCACTTTCCTCTGTGGAGTTCTTGGTATACAGAAAGGAATGTTTTGAGTGTTAAAACCTGAACAAACATACTAAACCCTAAATGAAAAAGAAATGTTTCACTTGATCTGAAGCAAATTGCTTTAGTTTGGTTTGTAGCATTTTTAATGAAGCCTCTGACTTCAGGGACAAACAGCCTTGTATCAGCCATTTTTCTCTGTGCTCTGTAGCTCAGGACACAAGACAAACCCCAGTGTGGGGTCAGAGTTCCTTTTTCTGCCAGGATGAGGAACTGTGCTGTAGCAGGTCCCTGACATTACCTATTCTGTGCTATTTCCAGCTCTTCACTGGGCACAGAGAGTGAGGATGGTTCCATAAACTGAATACTGCACACAGTTCTGGTGCCCTCAGCAGCAGAAGGACATGGAACTGTTGGAGCAAGTGCAGAGGAGGCCACAAAGTTGCTCAGAGCACTGGAGCATCTCCCTGTGAGCACAGGCTGAGGGAGTTGGGGCTGTTCAGCCTGGAGAAGAGAAGGTTGTGTGGAGAGCTCAGAGCAGGTTGGGGCTGGGTGATCTGTAAGGTCCATTCCAACCCTTAAATTCTATGATTCTATGCTAGTTGTAGTTCTTGTCTCACAGTGAGTAAAGATCAGCTTTGGTTTCCTCTACTGAATTTCACAGTTCATAGCTCAAATGCACAGCATGAGTCAGGGCACTGGTTTCAGCCCTACTGCAGGAAGGTAGATCCTAACAGAATCTGTAGGTCTGCTGTTTCCTGGTGAGTCTCACAGCTACCCCAGCCCACATATCAAATCAACACTTCTTTTATCTTCATTATCCTGAAGGACCATGGCAGCAAGTGACTCAAGGCCGTGTCAGCAGGGAGCACTGAGGCAGGGGCAGTGCAGCAGTTGGCAGTGATACACATCAGTCAGGGGTGTCAGACAGTCACTCTGGGCTAGCCGCACATGTCCTGAGCCCCAGGGATGAATTCACCAGCCCAATCACAGCCCTAGCAGTCACCAAAGATCCAACTCTATTTCCAGTCTAATAAGTAACTCAGACGTAATAAAACACAGAGGTTAGAATCTCTCATATTCATGCTCCTCTGCCTTGCTGTAATTAAATTAAAGTATTAAAACACTTCATAATCTTTAGCACAATATTAATAGACATCCAAAGCCTTGTTATTAATTTCATGCATTGGGGAATTATTCTGATGAGAGCAGATTGATTATCGCCATGAAGGAATGACGAATGTTAGAGACTGGAGAGATTGAGATGTTTGGGGAAGCTTGTAAGATTTTCCTTGTAAATAAACGCTGATAAATCTACCAACACACACAAACAGATACAGTTTTCATATAAGCCATAGAGCTCCCTCCATTAAGGTAATGCTACATCTGCCCAAATGTCAGGAAAGAGTCACAAAACCCTGATTCTCGTCCCTGAAGCATATGAAACACATATGAGGTACGTGAAGCCTTGAGCAACCTGCTCTGGTGGGAGGTGTCCCTGCCCAGGGCAGGGGTTGGGGCTGGATTCCAAGCCCTAAAATTCTATGATTCTATGATCCAAATTCCAATCCATGGCAACTGACCGAATAAACAAATTCTGCGTAAGGAAGGACAGAGAGGTTATTTTTGCTGCAATGATTATCTTCTCCTTTTCTAAGACCTGATGAGTGAAGTTCTTAAAACAACATTCTGGGAGAAATGCTGTGGTGGAAGGAAGGAATCAGTGCAGAACCAGAGAGCTCACAGTGATCTCAGAGGGCTGTCGTGTGAACGTCAAAGATCAAATTGTTCTCTAAACTGCAGTTCTGTTTTAACTCTTCCTGTGATTAAAACAAAACCGAAGTGGCATCATAAAGAGCGTTCTCCTACAAGATGCAAAGCTGTGTTTGATCACCAGGTGCAATTAATACACCCAGGCCCAAAAGAAATGATTCAGCATTAGGAATGACAGTTTCGATGTGCAAACTTTGCTGTGAAGTGTTCTGGGAGCAGCAGCTCCTGCTGGAAGATGGATAACCAGATTTATTTGCTTTGGGCTTGGCCATTTGTGTGTATTTTCTTCAAGGAGCTGCCAAGTGCTCAAATATATCAAGATGCATTTCCTCCTGGGATGTCATTAAACTGAAGTTCTCGTGGGTACATACCTTGCAGGCTCCACGGCTCGAACTGGGGATGGAAAATGTGCTAAAGACTCAACAGGAAAAAAATGAGTCACACTGAATTTTTAAAGTGCTGTGAAGCTCCTTGCCTTGGTGAAATCAGTTCTTTGAAAACCTCCTTTGACTCAATGCAAGCTTTATCAGGTGAAGGGGTATCACTTCCAAGGTAATGCCATTTGGAAATTACTTGGGGAAGATCTGGTGAAACGAGCCACATCAAGTGGAAACTGGGAACTCTGGTGTTCACCTCTGACAACCAGCTGAAGACAAACTTCTGGTTTTTCATATGCTCCATAGACCTATTCTATAATAACTCCTTTAACCTTTTAGGGAGGTAAAAATTTTCCCCCAAACACAAGTAATTGGCCCATTTTTGTTAGTTTTAAAGGAGACTTCAAGGGTACTTTTCAGTTGTGTTTTCCCTCTACAGATGGGGAAACAAAATCCTGATGTTATATTTTGTTTTCTAGCTGAAATATTCCAGGTTAAAAGGGTGTCACTGACTCCAAATACTAATAAAAATTACTGAAGATCATTTTGTCCTCATGTCCTCTGCACAATTTACTGAAACACCTCCCTGACTGCCACTGCCCCATGCTGCAAAGTTTTCTGAGTGCCCCTGGGGTACAAGAGCATACTTCACATGGTGGGATGGAGAGTGCTTCTGCACCTGGGAGCAGGTAGTCAGCTGAGTCAGACCCTCCAAGTTATCCTAGTGTAGTACATAATTTCATGTGCCAAAGGATAACACTGCTAAGTGCCACTCTGTGTCTGAGTGAGGAGGGAGAACTGGCCTGGCCGTGCTGCCGCCGCTCATTTCATGTGGCTGCATGAGGAAGAGCTTGCAGAGAAAGGAGGTAGAACTTCAGCCCTTGCCCTCAGAGTCTTCCCTTCTAGAGAATGGTAGAACCATGGAACCACCAAGGCTGGAGGAGACCTCCAGGATCATCAAGTCCAACCACTAACCTGTCACTGCTGGAACCCTTAAACCCTAACCCAGATCCTCCAGTGCCACATCAGACACCTCTGAAACACCTCCAGGGATGGTGACTGCACCACCTCCCTGGGCAATATCCCAGTGGCCTTCTAGAGACAGAGAGGGGCTAACTGCCTGTGTGTTTCTCTCCTTTGCTCCCTGATAATTTGACTCTTTCCAAGGAGATCAAAGTCTTGCTCTTTGAACTTCTGTGCTGGATGGAAAGCACTGATGTCCCCACATCAGTGACAGGTGACCTGGGAAGCAGGTGCTTTGGGATTCTTAATGATGACAGAGAAATGTCAGTGTTCAGCAGAGCAAAGACTTGGAGAACTGAGAAATAAAGACATATGAGGCAAAAAGAACTACTGAGAAATAACTATTACCACCGAAGGCTTGGAAATTCTCACCCAGGCTAATCAAAGCAAGACATTTTATTGTTCATGCTTTACCAGCCCCTAGGAGGGTGCTAAAGTCTTCACAGTATCAATGCAATGATGAAAATAAGGACAAAACCTACAGTCCAGAAAGCACCAGAGGCTGAAGGAAGGAAAAGAGCCTTATACACTCCCCACCCTAAATCCTGTGCTGTTCCTTGAAGAAATGTGACTGTAAATAAAAACACGATGATGTAAAAACACAGATGTTCTTTCTTTTGAAAAGGTCAGCACAAGAAATAGAAATTGGCCTTTTAGTCCCCACACAGGCCTGGCTCAAGGCCTGAGGGTGGACCATGGCAAGAACTTGGGGAGTGGGAAAGAAGATATCAGGACACATCACTGGGAGATGATGGTGGAATCTGTAAGAGTGCAGGGAAAGATGCTAGTAAGAAAACTTAGTATGAACTAATTTGTGATCTGAGAAAATCTCAGCTGAGACAATAATTCAGATTGGCAGGGATTGAAATATTTATAAAACTGAGCCTGAAGAACAAGGATAATTGACCTCAGAGGGAATCACAGGGAATTGGCTACCGAGTTCTAGGGCCACTTTGATATATTGCTATCATTAGTGCTGGCTTGGATCTCGTTCCAAAATAGTCCACATTATTTTTCACTTTCCCCCATCACTCCTTTCAAGGTGTCCACAGGACATGAGAGAATAATAATGATTCTTGACAAAACTGTGGTAAGGAAATGCAGCTGAATTTTTAGTAGTGCACATGCCTCTGTGGCAGCAGAGGTGCTGTCACTATTGCTCTTGCCTGCTCCTTCCTGCCCTTCCAACAGGCTGAAGTGCCTGCAAAGGGATGGAGCATGTGCAAAATGTCTGCTCATTGATAAGAGGCAAATTCTCAGGTTTCAGGAACACAGAACCACCTTGTGTGCTCTGACAAAGGGCCAAGCACTGGAGCCACACCAGTGAGTGGGAAGGATGTGTCAGAGCTGGAGCTGTGGATGGACATATTGTTCCGTCTGAACTCTATCTAATACCAGACTTTGATCCTGCACTTGACTCTAGAGTTGGCTCCTTAACCCCTTCAACAAAACCTTACTCTGTGGAGCACCATCTTGCACAGTCAGTTGCAGGACAGTGTTCTTACGTCTTATGGTTCTGTAGAGTCTCTCCTCCTACAGAGTGAGGAAGGAAAAACTGCAGCTCCCAGCTCTAGCCTAACAGTTTTCCTATTTTAGCAGACATCTATAAGAAAAGATACAGAAAAGTTCTTACTTTCTTCAGAAAGATCATTTTCTTCTGCTTCTCTCTCCATCTCTTTGCACCATCCTTCCATTCTCTTAGTTTCAGTGTGCAGTAACTTCATAAACCAAGATCCATCCCGTCGGCACGGAGACATCCGCCCAGTCTCCACTGTCTCAATGGCAGGCTCAAGCCAGGGCTCTGGTGGTGGAAGGTTTGAGGTGTCAACTGGGGTCCTATAGTCTTCTCTGTAACTGAACAGTCCCTGTGTCCGTACAGTCCTCACGGCACTGTATTGGGTGGGTGTGCTGGGCTCCGAGTGCTGCTGGAATGAAGAACCAAACTGAAGTCCCTTGTCCTCCATGGTGATGTGGCCTGGAAAACCCTCCAGCTCCAGGTCAGCCTGGACAGCTGCTGTCACACTGTTTGAGCGCTTGAACCGTCCGTGCCTTGGGGGAGAGGGAAGAGAGACGAGAGATTAGGACATATAAATAACAGATGTGATAACACAGAGGCACAGAAAATGTTTCAGTGCCTTCAGATCTTGCTCTTCTCCTTGGACTTGATGTTGAACATTTTTGCTTTGTGTGGAATAAGACAGTGAGTAGCAACAGAGAGGAAAAGCAAAATACATAGTGGCATCATTGATCTGAGCAAGGATACAAAAGAAAATCATTTAAATTATCTCTGGAAGCAGATATTGATTTGTTCTCACACCACAAAATGCCACGTGTCGTTGCCAAATGAACTGGAAGCAACTGGCAGAACTGTGGGGTTACCTCTCCCGACAGAAGTCTGTAAAGTGCATGTACAAAAATGTTTCTGATCTTAAGAATTGTAATTAGATAAACCTGAAAATCTGCTAAGTTAGGACTTCTGAGAATCCTCTAAAAATAAAAAATAGCAGCAGCAAGTTTAAGACTGTGTTTTTTTGGTTCTTTTGTCTCACAGGGTGAGCACTGGAGGTTGGTTTTCTGTTATGTGACACTGAATAATGACATTTTAGAAAGGCTTTGTGTTAAAAAGTTAGAGGAGCAAAGATTATTTGTGAAACCTTTTCACATCTGAGCCTGTTGCCTCAAATTACCTGTAGGCAATGATGGCAGAAGGTGATGAGCAGCCAGAGACTGTCTGAGAGCTGCTGTGAGTGAGCTAAAGATGCTGCTCCAGGACCTGCCAGGGCTAAGCTGTGGGTTGGTACACGGCCCAGCAGCTTTACACAGCCAGGGAAGGACTGAACAAGTGTAAGAACTGCTTTTAGTTTAGCATAAGGTACCATGGGTTACATCCTACCCATTATGTGTGGATTGGGAGAGCCCAGATTAGCATGAGGGCTCCTGTCAAAGCAAGACTGTTAGAACGTGCAGCTCTTTGTACCTTTCCTGCTAATAATGAGATCATATCAAACCAATGTAAAACTTCCACTTCCTTCCCTCCAAGTAGAAACAGGAGTTAACTCAATATGAAGCAGCTGCTGAGTAATTGCCACAAACTTCCCCAAATGCACATGAGAAATTTGGTCTTGTGGACTATTTAGGTGAGCAGTGGCCAGCTGTTTGTTATGGCTCTGTTGGCCAGTGTGCATTGTGCTGTGCAAGTGTAAGGATCTCTGGACACGCCTGAATTACCGTTTCTCATCTTCCACTTGGATCCCAACAGAGTGGTATTCCCGCAGGCCTCTGCTCTCCGTGTCTGAGTCAGTCGCTGTTTCCACCTAATTCAACACAAAAGACACATCTGCAGAGTGAGCAGCCACAACTCAGCACTGTTTCTACCCACACTCATTCAAAATTAATCACAGAGCTAATCCCTTCCTGCTAAGAAACACCCAGGATAATATAAACAAATGCAAATTCAACATCTTTGTCAGCGACATGGA